TTTCTACCATGTAAACTATCGTATAATTCACAATAAAACATTAAAAAAAAAATTTCTGCCAAGTTTCCCATGTAGTATACCTAGGCACTCTGTCGAAAATCAGTTGGCTGTATGTGGATGGGTTAATTTCTGGATTCTCGATTCTGTTCCATTGATCAATATATCTTTCATTGTACCAGTACCAGGCTGTTTTGACCACTGTAGCCATGTAGCAGATTTTGAAATTGGGGAGTGAGAGTCTTCCAACCTTGTTCTTCTTCTTGAGCAGGGCTTTGCTTATCTGGGGTCTCCTTCCTTTCTATTGTTGTTGTTGTTGTTAAGTGCCGTTGAGTCGGTCCCAACCCATAGCGACCCTGCATAGGGTTTCCAAGGAGTGACTGGTGAGCTTGAACCACCGACCTTGCAGTTCATATGAAGTTTATAATTGTCTTTTCCATCTCTTTGAAGAATGTTGCTGGAATCTGGATTGGGATTGCATTATATGTGTAAATTGCTTTGGGTAGTATTGACATATTCATGATGTTGAGTCTTCCTATCCAGGAACACAGTATGTTCTTTCCCTTTTGTAAGTCTCTTTTAGTTTCTTGTAGTAGTGTTTTGTAATTCTCTCTGTATAGGTCCTTTGTTTCTCTGGTTATGTTTATTCCTAAATATTTCATCCTTTGGGCGGCTACTGTAAATGGTATTGCTTTCCTAATGTCCTTTTCAGCGCTGTCATTGTTACTATAGAGAAATCCAACTGATTGTTGTATGTTGATCTTATACCCTGCCACTTTGCTGAATCTTCCAATGATGTCTAGTAGCTTTTTTACTGAGTCTTTGGGATTTCCTATGTATACGATCATATAATCTGCAAACAGAGAGAGTTTTATTTCCTCTTTGCCAACTTGGATGCCTTTAATTTCCCTATCTTCCTGTATAGCTCTGGCTAAGACTTCCAAAACAATATTGAAAAGGAGTGGTGACAAAGGGCATCCTTGTTTGGTTCCCATTGCAGAGGGAAGGCTTTCAGTTTCTCTCCATTGAGAGTGATGTACGCTGTTGGTTTTATATATATGCTCTTGATTATGTTGAAGAATTTCCTTCAATTCCTACTTGTTGAATGTTTTTATCAGGAATGGATGTTGGATTTTGTCAAATGCCTTTTATGCATCAATTGATATGACGATGTGGTTATTTTCCTTTTTCTTATTTATGTGGTGGATTACACTGATTGTTTTTCTAATATTGAACCATCCTTGATCCCTTTTATGAAACTGACTTGGTCATGATGTATTATTTTTTTGATGTATTGCTGGATTCTGTTGGCTAGGATTTTGTTGAGAATTTTTGCATCTATGTTCATGAGGGATATTGGTCTGTAGTTTTCTTTCTTAGTGATGTCCTTCCCTGGTTTTGGTGTGAGAGTTATGCTTGCTTCATAAAAAGTATTAGGAAGTTTTCCGTCCTCTTCTATATTCTGGAATAATTTGAGTAGAATTAATGACAGCTCTTCCCTGAATGTTTAGTAGAACTCACCAGTGAAGCTGTCTGGGCCTGGACTTCTTTTGGTTGGGAGTTTTTTGATGACCTGATCAATATCTTCTTTTGTTATGGGTCTGTTTAAGTTTTCTACTTCACTCTGTGTAAGTTTTGGTCGGTTGTATTTTTCTAAAAATGCATCCATCTCCTCTAAGTTTTCAAATTTGTTGGCGTACAACTCTTCACAGTATTCTGTTATTATCCTTTTGATTTTGTTTGGTTCTGTTGTGACAGTCTAAAGAACTTCCTTTAGGATGTTTTGAAGTGCTGGATTGGCTTTGACAAAACCTCTTAGATTCTGTTTATCCTGGAATATTTTGTTTGCACCATCGTATTTGATTGACAGTTTTGCTGGATAGACGCTTCTTGGTTGGCAGTTTTTTTCTTTTAGGGTTCTGTATATGTCTCCCCATTGCCTACTTGCCTGTATGGTTTTTGCTGAGAAGTCAGAGATTAATATGATTTGTTTGCCTTTGAAAGCGACACTTCTCTTCTCCCTGGCCACTTTTAGGATTCTCTCCTTGTCTTTGATTTTGGAGAGCTTGATTATCATATGTCTTGGTGACTTTCTTTTGGGGTCTATCCTTCCTGGGGTACGTTTGGCATCTTGAATGTTTATCTTCTCATCTTTCAAGATGTTAGGGAAATTTTCTTCCAGAAGCTTCTCAACTATCTCCTCTGTGGACTTCTCTGATTCTTCCTGTTCCAGAATGCCAGTAATTCTTAAGTTATTCCTCTTCATGTAATCCAGCTTGAATCTTAGACTCTCTTCAGATTTTTTTCTTTTTTTCTGCTTGCTCTTCTATCTTAGCAGTATTGCAAGATTTGTCTTCCAGCTTGCTAGTTTTGGCTTCCATCTCTTCTATTCTGCTTCTTTCCCCTTTCAGTGTATTATCCCTTTCTGATATTTTATTATTAATCATCTAGACTAGGTTTTGAATAATTTCCAGTGCTGTACAAATCTTGTTTGATTGCTCTTGTAGTACTTTCCTGACTTCTTGTTTTCCTCCACCCCTTTTCAGAGTATTTGAATTTGTTTCCATATCATTCTTCTGAATTCCTTCTCAGGCAAATCCAAAACCTGCTCTTCGTTTTCTGGGGAGCCTTTGTGTGTCTCCAGCTCATTTGTCTCAATTACTCTTTTCTGGTTTGGGACATGTTTTGATATATTTTGTTGTGTTTTCTTTGTCATTTCCAGTAGTTATGTGGGGTTTTTAATGCTTAAATGGATGTTTGTTGTTGTGTTATTAAGCTTACTGGGTGTCTCCTGGTGGATATGATCAGGAGATAGGCTTCCCTTTTGCATGTAGTGCTTAGCAGCTGTTATTGGCTCTTGTGTCAGTGGGGGAATATTATGGAGTATGCTTATAGCTTGGCTATATGGCCACGACTGCTTCTTGGGTAACACAAGGAGAAAAAGCTCCTACCTCCAGAAAAAAATGTGTGATCAAAAGGACCAAAAGCAGAAGCAATATAAAAGCAGAGACAAAAACCACCACTTTGAAACAAAAATAAAACTGTGGCCGACTGTCCAGTCACCTTGCTACACAGGCAGTGTGTGTGCACCGTAGAAGCCTCAAGCCGTGTGTGTGGGGTGTCTGCTAGCTCAGACCCCTCTTCTAGTCACCACCATAGAGGTGCACAGATAGATATTGAGAAGTTAATGGGAGAAAAATTTTCTACTATTTTTGTCTCTGAAGGTCAGGTATTTGAGTGTGCACAGCGTAATTCTCAAGATAGTTGCATCCTGTTATGTTTGGGTTTTACAGATTGTTCATATGGTTTGTCTGTCAGGCCTGATGGGCCTGCTTTTTTCTTGCTACATAGGCCAGTGTAAAGGGTCCTGCACAAATTAATTTTAGGGCTGTGACCCCGTGGCTGACATCATAAGCAGCCACCAAGCTCTTTCTCTCTGTGCCATGGGGAAGCTATGGGCTTAGCATTGGACTTTTTTTGGGGGGTGTGCACCCACCTGCCTGAAGGCATCTGGTTTGGGCAAAGAAGGTGCAACATAGAGGAGGAGGAAAAAATGGGTAGAATCCCCCCGCACCTCGTTTTGCAAATGTCACTGCACCACTTTCAGTGCTGGCTTCCTGTGCAGGTCTGCCTGTAGCCCTGCCCTCTGAACTCTGCCTGGGTGAGGTGGCCGTAGAAGGAGTTCTATCTCGAGTGATTCCTCACTCACAGTATTTTCCTTTATATCGTGATTTTTCCACTTGTGCATGTGGGAAACTGATGCCCTACACCTTATGCTAGATCCAGAGCTCTGGTGGTTTTCCATGAGTGCAGTTTCTCTGGGTTTTCAATCCCTGCCCCATGGAGCCTTTCCTACCTGGCTGTCTCTGCCACCACCAAAACCAGAACTCCTATATGATATTCTTGAAAAGGCAGAACACTAGTGTTATAAAACAGATCAGTGGTTGCCAGAGGTTGGATGTAAGGGAGGTTATAATTAAGTAAGAGTAGCTTGAGGGAGCTTTCTGGGGTGACAGAAGTGTTCTGTGTTGTGACTGGGTGTTACATCAATCTATGCATGTGCTTACAGAACTGTACATACACACATGCACACATTTGTTTTCCTGAAATAAATATATATATATATATATAGTAACAGCACAAGAAACGTTTGCTGGACCACGCCTACACTGAAATTGTCTGAGGGATTACCTAGTATGGCTATCAGCAATCTTCACCATAGCCATACTAGCCCTACTAGGTAATTCAGTGAATAAGGAAAACCGTAGAAGAATTGATGCCATTGAGTTATGGTGTTAGAGGAGAATATTGAGAGTGCCATGGGCTGCCATAAGAACCAACAGATCTGTTTTGGAAGAAGTGCAGTCAGAATGCTCCTTGGAGGCCAGCATGGCCAAACTTCATCTCTCATACTTCAGACATATTGTCAAGAGGGACCAGTCACTAGAGAAGGATATCATGTTTGGTATGGTGGAGGTTCAGAGAAAAAGAGGAAGACCCCCAGCGAGATGGATTGGCTAAGTGGCAGCATCAATGGGCTAAAGCGTGATAACAATTGAGGTTGGCCCAGGATCAGGCAGTGTTTCGTTCTGTTGTGCATAGGGTTGCTATGAGTTGGTACTGACTCTATGGAACCTAACAACAACAACAGTCATCACCATCACACATTTAGCCATGTTTCAATGAAAGCATGTGATTAGCATTCAAGACGCCCAAAAAGGAGTGCTGTGCCAATAAGTTGCTCAGTTAAGCCATCTTGACCTTAGCCATTAAGATATACTAAATAAATTATTTTCTGCTCAAATAAAATTGAAATCTGCTGCAATTAAGTGAAGCATCCATAGGTATGTCACTGGGTCCATGTACACTGACTGGACAAATTAGCTTTTCCATTTCAAGACGTATGACATGTGGCCATCCCTTAGCCTAGAGAGTGGTTTCACTAAACTACATGTGGACACCAGACTCTAACTTCCTTCTCCCTTCCTTCTACTCCCCTACAGGAAGTCATTGCCCACTGGATTGCTGAAAGTCGCATTGCCATAGAGCAGATCCGCTTGTTGACCCTGAAAGCTGCCCATAGCATCGATACCCTGGGCAATGTTCATGCAAAGAACGAGGTGAGGACTGCCATCTTTCCAGCCCATTGGGCATTTCCAGCTTCACGGTGCTTTGATGGTACTCAGAGTATTGGAGGCCCGAAGGTTATTTATGGTTTAATGATTCTAAGTAGATGTCCCTTGCTAGTTTCCCTTCCACTGGACAGCTTTGGGCTATTATTATCAGGGTACAAAACACCTTAGAAATATTGAAATGCAGCAACAAGAAGTGGGGGAATCTTTGGCTTAGTGTTTTTAAGTGCCGTCAAGTCGGTTCCGACCCATAGCGACCCTGTATAGGGTTTGCAAGAAGCAGCTGGTGAGCTTGAACCACCAATCTTACAGTTCAAATGACTTTACAATCTGATGCTTTAGCCCAAAGTGCCACACCAGGACTCCTTAATACAAACCTTGAATTGTACCCCAGAGTGGGCAGAGGACTTAACCTTTCTGCTTCTGGCCTAAGGTTCTTGTGAAAAGTAATCAAGATTGCATAGCCCTGTGCTGCCACCTAGTAAATGTTCCACAGAAAGTCCTCTCATTCCTTCTCATGTTTCTGGTTTATATAGAATAAAGATTAGATGTTGACTTTTTAAAGTTCTTAAAAGAGGAAACTGATTAATGAAGAAGACCCGTGAGCTCTCTTTATAACCCCTAAAGTAATTAATATGATTTACTGGCAGCCTGGAAACATTTTGGGAGCAAGGAAAGTTATAAATAAATGAATAAAATATGATTTGAAAAAGATCTCTCTGTATTGACTGAAAAGGTACATGTATGAACTGAGTTTGGGTCATTAACTGCATTACAGTGGATCTTTTTGTTACCTTTCACCAAAGATCCTGTTTTAGTGATGAATCTTGTGTAGGAAAGCTCCCTGGTTTCATTTCACAAAGAAAACAGATTATATCAAATTTTCCCACATTGTTATAGTCTAAGAATGGAGCATTGTTTTAATATCTCGTTTCCATAGATTGCCATGATCAAAGTGGCTGCCCCGCGAGCAGTCTGTAAAATCATTGACCGGGCCATCCAAGTGTGTGGAGGTGCAGGTGTTTCCCAGGACTACCCTCTGGCTAACATGTGAGTGGTGGTGGTGGTGCTGGTGTCAGTGTGCCATCAGGTCAGTTCCAACTCACAGAGGCTATAAAGTTTTACAGGAGCATTAAGCTCCTTTCTTTCTCCTGTGGCGTGACTGGCAGATTCAAACTGCTGACCCTGCGATTAGCAGTCCAATGCATAACCCACATAAGCTTGAAATTAAAATCTATAGATACTTTGACACTAATTGTTTAAGAAGAAAATAAAGACACTAACTTAAGTGTTCCACTGCTAACCAAAAGGTCAGTGATTTGACCCACCAACTGTTCCACAGGAGGAAAATGTGGCAGTCTGCTTCCATGAAGATATACAAAGGGGCTTCAAAAAGTTTGTGGGAGATGGTGGCTAGGGTAGAGGTGCAGTGAGGTTCACTGGCAGCAATACCACAGAATACCAGGCAAAGCAGATCCAGGGCAGAGCTCCAAAACTCGGAACCACATAGATAGGAATATTTTAAAAGGTTGAAGGCTTATAGCTAGTGGAACTTGTAGCAGAAGTAAGAAATAGCGTACTTTTGAATTTGCCATACTCAGCTGTCTGGAGGACAACTTGGACAACACCAAATGGCAAGACCAAGCAGGGGAGCAGACACACCACGGAAAAACACTGCGGGAACCTTGGGACAAAGGTGGACAATACACTTTGTCAGTTTCGCTTTGTTCTGATTTTCTTTTTTTTTTTGGCATCTGTTCATTGGCCCCCCACTGTTTACCAACCTCCATTCTGATGACTACAGGGGGTGCTTGAGGGAGTGGACACTCCCTACCCTCACCATTGGTGGGTTCTTCTGCCACACATGCGCACAGATGCTTTCAGCCCACGAACCTGCCCTGAACTGTTTTTTGTGTTGTTTGTTTTTTTTTTAATACAAAAAAGACCAGAACAAGAGGTGTGGAGAGGGAAAAAGAGTTTAAAAACAAAACAGGCCAAAAATTCAATTAAATCTTGAGGTACAGCATAATAACCAACAGTGGCATCTTGAAATCTCTCAGGCAACTTTGAAGGCAAGAAGAAGAAAGAAGACATTAAAGTCATACAAATATTAGGCTACAGATTTTTTTTTTCTTCTTTCCCTCCTCTCCCTTTCCTGAAATTATAGATTACAATATCCAGTCTAGTTTTTGTTGTTGTTGTTTTACTGTTTTATGCTTCCTTTCTACCTTTGAGGGGGACTCTTTGTCTCCTTATATTACCCAATAAGAAACAGCAACTGCTGCCATCTAGTCAAGCTACAATCACAATATAAAACACCAAAATCCAGGCAAGAACCATTACCAACTCCCATATGCCAGGGAGGCAGACAACACCTGTGAAAGTTACTCTGCATTAAGCAATAAGAAGAGTGAAAAGAAAAGCCCACATCCTGATCACATCTACCTGGAAGCAATCAGAAAGCTTAAAAAATACCAAAACACATACTCAATTAAGTATTAAGGCCACAGATAAACACTAAACGTGTCCAAGAAGCAAAAGCAGATGACCATATCAGCACATGTCCAGAAACAAGATAAAGTGTCTGAGACAAATGGCCTAGAGGTAGACCTGGACTCCATTCTGGAAGGAGGACAGGCCTTGGAAATGCCTGAGAAGGAATTCAGAAAAATGATTATAAACTGTTTAAGTTTGTGGGACACTGGAATGAAAAGATAATAGAGAGCAGAGGCCAAACTCGGGATCTGACAAGATGGCTGGACTGCCCCACAGGATTATAAGGATTATTAAGGAAACTAGTTCCTGGCATTAAAGCAGAACCGGATGAGGTCAACACCCAATATTTTCATGTGATCACTGCTGGCCCCGAGGATTCCCCCTTTGAGATAGGGGTTTTTATAAACTTGAACTAGTCATATTCCAGAAGAATACCCAATGGCAGCTCCTAAAGTGCATTTCATGACCCAAATTTATCACCCAAATGTAGACAAGCTGGGAAGAATCTGTTTAGATATTCTGAAAGATAAATGGTCCCCAGCACTGCAGATTCATGCAGGCTTTGTTAAGTGCTCCCCGTCCAGATGATCCATTAGCAAATGATGTCACAGAGCAGTGGAAGACCAATGAAGCCCAAGCCATGGAAACAGCTAGAGCATGGACTAGGCTGTATGCCTAGTCAAATCAAATTGATTTGATCATCAAGTGTGCATCACTTCTCCTGTTCTACCCAGAGACTTCTTCCTTTTTTGTTTGCATTTAATGGACACAGTCTTAGCCACATTACAAAATAAAAGCCCAGACATCTTTAGTCTTTTGGTGATTCAATGCACATTAGCAATCTGTCTTGTCCTGAGTCGCTGTTGGAAAGCATGAGCAGATGCTAGAAGTATCATCTAGATTGTTGTTAAATGTATAAGGCATTGACCCCTCTCTGCATCTATTCACTTCTCCCCCATCATGGTTTAAGTATTAAGCACTGTGAATCAGTTAAGTGTCAGGAGTGTGGGTGTTTTTCTTTTACTTTTTTGTTTGAGGGGGGAGGTAGTTTTATTTAAAATTCATGGGCTCCTTTCCCCCCTTTTATGGTGCATTGGTTAAAAGCAGCTAAGCCGCTGTTCTTTATAATATATCCTCATAACCAAGTCTAACTTTATTTAGATGTTGTAGATGAACAAGCTTGATTGTTTCAAGCAAAATGGGAACATTAAACAAACATCACAGCACTCACTAATAACATTGTGACTTTGCTATGAAGTGTAGAATCCTTCCTTCAAGAAAAAGCTTGCGACAGTTTTGTATGGTTTGTCTGGAAACTTCTGTAAATCTTATGCGTTAGTAAAATATTTTTTTAATTAAAAAATAAAAATAATGGAATTTTTCCATGAACATGTGATGCCCCCTTGTACAGCTTTGGAAATCCTATGGGACAGCTGTATTCTGTCCTGTGGTGTCATTAGGAATCAGTATTAACTTGATGACAAGAGGGGTTTTTGCTTGTTTATTTAAACGTACTTGAAAGTGTCGTTGAAGGCTCCATGAATTAATAGAGGCACCTCAGTACAGAACTTGGCACCAATACATCGTTGTTCTTATGGTCGCCATGATTATTTCAGTCTATTATGTCACTCCTTCCACTGGGATGGGACGTCCCGCTGAGGGCTGTGGACTACCCATAGAGCTGGGGCTTCATTTTGAAGCAGGGAGGAGGGGGGAGGAGAGCAGGGCCAACCAAACGGAACAGGTCAGGTTGTGTGTGCAGTCGGGACCATTTACCACCTACAAGGAAGGCTTTTGCCGAGTTAGCAGCCATACCCGTGGTGATAATCAAATGTGCAGATTCTGATGGCTGGGAGTCAAGAAGGAACATTCTCCACGTACCATGAGTCCCTCACTACACATATTCACAGCTTCTCTATCACACTGGAGATAAGAGTCTGGGGGCCCAACATTGATTTCTTCTTTTAAATATTTGCTTTATAAATATATCATTCACTTCTGTGACTTACCTAAGCTACTTCTTAGATCTGGCAAGTTTTCATAACCTGCAGTAAGCCATTAAGAGAAGAACCCCACTTCCCTGTACCATTAAGATTCCACTTCCCAAGTCGGAAACTTGCATATGGCATTTCCCAAGCTCTTTGGTTTACTTCCTTTGATTCTCCTTGTATTCATTTTCTTATCCCTGCCTTCATAGAGTTTCAAAAACTAAAACTGTCTAATCTTAGAATCAGTGATTCACATGCAGGTATCATGTCCTCCTTTGTTAACTCTCCATCCCTGCCCTTTTCTTTTCTCCAGGTATGCCCTAATCCGGACTTTGCGCTTGGCAGATGGCCCTGATGAAGTTCACCTCTCAGCAATTGCTGGAACGGAGCTGCGCAACCAAGCTAAAAGGCTGTCGGCCAAAATGTAGGGTGTCAGTGTCGCACATTCCTCTGGCAGAAAGGAACTTTCACATAAACGTAACCAGCTCCAACATCTGAACCCCACTATATTTTTGGAACAACTTGAGAATAGTTGTTCCAAAAATATTTATCACTCACTTTTGGTATTGATTTTAGTGTCTATTTTAATCATTGAGTTTTATAGATTCAAGTTAAATAGGAAACTCCATCGCTCTTGTCAGTCTAGTACTTAAATAGTTTAACATTCATTTTTTTAATAAACACTCAAACTGTAAAGAGATCATGAAGTCAGTTGGAGTGCTAAAGCCAGCGCATAAAAATACCTTTGCTTTTAGAATTTTCAGGGATTATTCAATGTAAATGAATATGCAAACACTATTTAATCATTGTGTGGTGAAAATGCAGTGAGGTCTCCTTTTTGATACCAGTTTCAGGGTTGATTGAACAATGCCAACCAACTGCAGAAAGTGAAATAGTTCAATAGATGTTTGCACTAGAAGAAACCTAACTAAAGGGTTGCTTTAGAATATTTATCTTTAAAAGCCTCTTTATAATCTAACAGGAAACATTTATACAAAAATCCTAAAGTGGTAGGTATATAAAATTTCATAGAAAACATGGCATATTGTGTAAAGAAAAGTAATGAAGCCTAACTTAAATTTTTCATAAAATGTTAATGGGCTTAGTGGACAGGTGAAGCCACAGGAAACTTAGATAACTTTGAGAAGAGTTTAAAGACAGTTCATTGTGGGCGCTGTGGGGTTACTTGTAAACACCCTGTGGCTATTTGAAATCAGCAAAGTACAGTACAGTAGCCATTAGCCTCAGGAGACTTTTGGACACTGGAATGTGGTTAATGAGACAGGAACTGATTTCCTTCTATTTTAGTCAATTTTAATTCCCACATTAGACTCAGTGGAAAACTTGTAAGTTTGCTTCAAATAACTTGGAAATGTGGAACAGCCCGCTTTTTCAACTGTTTAGTTTCAGAATTAAGAAATGCTAGGTTTTGAAGACTTAATATGAGAAAAATGGAAACCATCTCATTAATATTTTTTATATGAAACTACACATGGTTGCCATGAATTGGAACAGACTCGACCGCACTTAACAACAACATTAATAAATGATATTATTTTGGATATGTCTGGTTACATAAAATGTATTATTAATGTCACCTGTTTCTTTTTACCATTTGAAGGTAGATGCTGCCAGAAAAATAACTGGTAAATTAAAAATATTTCAAGTTAAAGTATTTCTATTTCTAAAAATGTTTGAACTCTGTTTTCAGACATAAGTTCACCGATTTCCAGAGATCATTTCACTCATTATGCTAATTTCCCCTGGGGTGTGTGTGGAGGGGAGGACCCAAGAGAGATGGAAGCACCTGTATGTGTGTGTGTGTGTGTGTGCGTGTGTGTCCACGCGTGCGTGTGCTGGTGCATGCTCACAGACCACATGTCTCTTCTGCATTACCTTTGAGCCTTACTTTCTCTATACCTCATTTTCTTTCCATGCACTGGGGTTAGCTTATCTATACCTGACAGTTTGTTGTGAGAATCACTGAGGCCAGCTGTTATTGTTGGTGGGAAGTGCCCTTGAGTCGGTTGTATATACATAGTGATCCTGTATAGTTTTCAAGATGCAGCTGGTGAATCTGAACTGCTGACCTTGTGGCTCAAACCAACCTTGTGGTCCAGTGCTTATCATATAGGACCACACCAGGACTGCACTGAGACCAGTAAAACCCTTTATAATGTGGTGATGGTGGTGGTAGTTGTGTGCCACTGAGTCAGTTTCAACTCCTAGCAACCCCATATAGGTTTTCCGAGGCTGTAGATCTTCACGGGAGCAGAAACTCTCATCTTTCTCCCTTGGAAGGACTACTAGATTCCAAATACTAACGTTGCACTATGCTACCAGAACTCCTAATTTATAAATATTTGTATTTAAAGTGGGTAAAATCTTACAATCCAAGCTATTTAATCTTATTACTGTGATGTTTTTGGATAAGCACTAGACCTCAAAGGGGGTTTGAACTGAAAGGTCAGTAGTTCAAACCAGTCGCTCCTCGGAAACCCTATGCAGGGTTGCTATGAGTCTGACCCAACTCGACAGTACTTACAACAACAACCAATTTTTATATGTGTGTCCTAAAAGAAATCGGATTGTTTTTGAACAGTCAATTAAAACTTTTGCCTGAGACTTAGAATTTTCTGGCATTTTTTTCCTCTGTTCTTGAGGAAAGCTGTCTGAACTGTTTGTTGGGGTTTTTTTGTTTTTGTATCTGTGGTGAGCAGGTAACTGAAGTCTGGGAAGACACCATGATGTGTCACATGAAAAAGGCCGTATTATTTCTCCAGCAAAACATTTAGGATCCCAAAAAGGGTAGCAGTGCTTGTCCAGGGTAGTTACCAGGTAAAGGTCTCTTTGGTAACTGAGATTTTTGAGAAAAAATGTGACAGAAAGCTTGATTGATTATGGTGGTGTTGGTTATGTGCCGTGGAATTGGTTCCGAATCATAGCAACCCTGTACAGGGTTTCTGAGGCTGTAAATCTTTATGGGAGCAGAAAGCCTCATCTTTCTCCCACGTAACAGCTGGTAGCTTCGAACTGCTGACCTTGCAGTTCTCAGCCTGATTCGTAACCACTACACTACGCTACGAGAGCTCCTCTTGATTAATTACAGAGGGACTGATTTCATCTTCAACCTGCAGTTAGAGACAAAGGCTCCCCCAGGACCCACGGCACCCTGCTGTTCCAAACAACTGTGATCTGCTTACCTGTCAGAAAAGAACTAAAGTAGGTGGAAAGAACCAGAGTCTAATAGCAGTGTTTAGATAGTTTATGACTCAGTTACATAGGGGCTGAAAAGAATAAAACTAACTTTTCGAATTTTCCTTGAAGTTGAGAAAGAAAGCACTTCTTGCCCAGGCTTTGGAAGGGATCTAAATTAGTAAACGATATGGAAACTATGCTATCATGAAGGAGCCAGGCAGCCTTGGCCTTAACTTTGCCTTTCTTAGCACTAGATAGCTCTTCCCCAAGAAGCAAACAGCTGCCACAGAGCAATCAGCGGGCTCCATGCTAGCACTTCTGGTCAGCGCTTGTCTATTGCACATATGTCTCCAGTGCCCTTCCTTTACCAATCTGGAGGGGAAACTATTAAACACTCTGGTAGTATAGTGGGTTGCAAGTCGGGCTACTAACCTCAATATTGTTGTTGTTAAGTGCCATAGAGTCGGTTCCAACCCACAGCGACCCTGTATAGGGTTCCCGAGTAGCAGCTGGTGAGGTTAAACCACCAACCTTGCAGTTCAAACAGCTTTGCAGTCTGGCGCATTAACCCACTGCACCACACCAGGGCTCCTCAATTAGCAGTACGAAAATACTATCAGCTGCATGAGAGAAAGATGAGGCTTTCTGCTCCCATAAAGATTGACAGCCTCGGAAACCCTACTCAGGGTGGCTATGAGTCGGAATCGGCTCCACGGCACATAACCACCATCTTATTTTTGCCTGGTTTTCTGCAGTAACTTCCTAACAGGGCTTCTGGTCCATTTTCCCGTTCTCTCCTCTCTCAAAATGTTGCTGTGACTTCCGTTTCACTAAAATTCAAAGTCCTTGCCTGTGGCGTGGCGCCTGTCCCTGACACCTCTCTGATTCCATCCACCTGGCTCACTCCAGCACCAGCCCCCAGGCTGCTGTTCCAAGACCAAAGACAGGCCTCTGGGCCTCAGTTCTTTTTAATGTTGCTCTGCCTGACAGGAGTGACCCGAAATTTCCAGATGACTGCTCCGGAGTCACGTGATCAAAGGGCCCTTTCCACGGTTGCAAGCTCTAAGGCAGCAGCACGTGCCTTTTCTCCCTCCACCTCCGTATCTGCTCTTCTCTCTATGGCACGCAGCTGACATGTTTTGTATCTGGTTCTTTCTGGCCTGTCTGCTCACTAGAAGGCACACTGGTGGTACCGTGGGTTAAGCGTTGGACTGCGAACTGAAAGGTCAGTGGTTCCAACTCAGCAGCCACTCTGAGGGATCAAAATGGAATGTCTGCTCCTGTAAAGCTTCACCGTCCTGGAATCACTGTGGGTGTTCCTACTCTGTCCTATTGGGTCACTATGAGTCGGAATAGACTCACCAGCCACGGGTTGCATTTGGTTTCTGCTTCCAGAGTGTCAGGCCACTTGTTTCCTGCTCTATCACTTGCTTCACTCTTGTGTACTGGGGTCTCCTCAGTCCCAGGGCCATGCCTGACATCCCATAGGCACTCATGAAACTTGAGAGAGAATGAGTGAATAAACGGGGGTGCACAAAATGCCCTCCTAACGTGTGGTGAGAGGGCAAAGTGTGCACATATACATCTGCATACAGAACAGTGTAGAGCCTCAGCCCCACCTGTCACACACTAGAGCTAGGGGAGCTAGAGAAAGATGGGAACTGAGAAAGGAAGTAGGGGTCACAGCCATGGGCGGTGCCCAACAGTTTGGGCAGATGGATCAAATACATGTTGAATGAGTACTTAACAGTTCACGAGAACACACAGTTACTCCCCCGCTAACAGGTAATCTAAATCTGTTGGGCCCGAGGGCTGTAATCCGCTCCAGGTACAGAGGGAAGTCAGGACCCCTAAGAGAAACAAAACCACTTCTGGTGATTGTTAGAGTTTTCCAAATCAGCAGGATTGTGGGAAGTGTCCCCACTTAATTCCGGGCAAAGAGCACTTAAGATTGGCATTCCTGCCATAATATTTGTGTCTCTTTCTTCTCTTCAACACCTCTTTCTCATTGTGGCTGGGATGTGCTGTCACAAAGAAATCTACAGGCTTTCTAGCATGGTGTGTGCTCATGATAAAGTCTGTTAAACAAAGGCTTATCTTGGCTTTATCTTCACCCGAAACATATGTGAATAACGAAAGGGTGATTATTTATTCTGTAGCAATGACTTCCTCTCAGGGTCCCCTAAATGGGTACTGGTTAATGAGAATGGGGAGTCCAGGCAGGGTCTCT